TGAAAGAGGATCAGAGCGGCAAGAGGAGATAGCTTGAGAAGCCTTTCATGGCCAATCTACTACCCAAAGATTCTCCAGCTGTTACCCTTTACTGCTAGGCTAGATGGCCACAGAAGGATTAACATCCATCTGGTATATCACTTATAGCAGTCAAGCAATATGGGTATACCTACACTGTTAAAGGCAGATGACAATCCAAACTGCAAACATCATATAGCGAAACACAGCCATATGTGGACATAGTACCTCAGATCCACAAACATTTCAGCCCCATGACTGTGGCTGAGTGCCAGAGGTAATAAACCCTGACTCTTAACAGGTTTCAAAAGCGCTGGCTTTGTGCCACGTGAATGCAGCTTGCCATGGATCCAAGCTAATACCAGTGCTGACTGGGAGCATATAAGGAGTCTCTGTACCTGCTTCGTTATGTCTCTAGAATATCTGTCATTCAGCAGATATCTCTGCACATCAGTAGTTACAAAAGTCTAGATGGGCTTGTCAATGTTCAGGGTGCAAGGGAAACTTTTTCCACTAAAATATTGCCAATGTGCAACAGAGTCATTTGGAGCTGGTTGGCTTCTTCTTGTGCATCGGAAGCAATTCAGTAGCCAACTGAAAGAGCTGAAGGTTTTCCTTTGATTGTAACAGGCATTGTACTGAAGATTTTTCAGGCTTCCTTTATTTAGGAGCATACTGAAGGAAATGTGTTGAAAGTTCCTAAATTTAGAGAATTCTATTCTTACTAAAAATTCCTCCTTTTTCATCAATGTCATTCCTCCAAATTTTATCAGGGAAAAGGGAAAACATTAGTGAAATGTGGAAAAGATGAACAGACTCCAGTCTGAACAGTTTGTAAATGCAAAGACCTACAAAGAAAATAAGAGAGAAAAACTTAGAAAGTGTGAATTTCCTAAGCTATCCCTCTTTCTTTGACTCAGAAGAGTATAGTGCTTTCAAAAGAAACTGAAAATAAAAACCCAATTTAATTGAAAGACTCTATTAACAGAACAATCTATATTATTTGCCAAACAAAAACCCCAAAGCAATACACCTTTAATATAAGTTCCAAAATAAAAATTTGGAATTGGAATCCAGAATCACAAATACATAACTTCTGAACATATTGTCTGAAAGAGCCTTTCAGAAACTCTCTTATAACTCTTACTAGCTACAGAATGCCTTTAGTGTACACTCTATATTATCAGCACCACCTAGAGTGCATCACTAGAAACAACTCCAAAACCACAAAGTTAATATTATTTACAAAGTGTGATTGTATTTCAAAGGAACATTTTGCAGACTTACTGTCTTTCAAAGACTTCCATATCAAATATACATGGCTGATACAATAGCAGAGAGGCAGGGAGAGGCAATATTTTTATTATTGCACTAGAAGAGGTGGAGAAAAGATACTTCAAGAGATTTTAGACTCAACTGAACCCTGTAAGGCAGTATCTATTGCTTCTGGCTTGATCATCATCAGCAAGTTCCTCAATCAGAATACAGTTAGTGATGATGATGATGATGAAGATGTCTGAAGCAGAACAGAATCCTGTTCATCCTCCTAAATCTGCTTTGACTCTCCAGAGAAACAGAAATAGTAAACTATTTAGTTAAGGGTTTCAAGACAGAAGTGAGTGTCATGAATGAGTGGTTTTAAGGCCACATAAAGAATCACTGGCAAAGGTACTGGCAAAGGGTGATTTTAATAGAAATTTATAGAAACGTGACTTAACAAAATTCGATGGCAAGGTTCACTCTGTTACTCATTACACGGATTAAGTATACACCGGGAAAAATTGTATCAGAATTGTGTTGGAGTGATCTGTACAGAGATTGAGGATAAAAGGGTAAGGGGGACCCTCCCGTTTAGTCACAAGGTTCAGAGAAGATCCAGCTGGACCCAATCTTAGTCTCAGACTTGGACAACGGTTTGTGTCTAATACAAAAGGGATAAGAAGACCCTCCTGTTGAGTCACAAGGTTCAGAGTAGACCCCCTTCCTTTCTAAACTCCTTCTCAGAGAGGAGCCTAGATGTGGCTGGATCTATCCTTAGTCTCAGACCTGGGCAACGGTTTATGACTAAAGGGTTAAGGGTGTTTAGCAGCAACTTAGAGTCCAACAATACTTAAGCATTAATCAATTTGGCAGTTACAAAAAGGAGTTAGTCAATTTTTTTCTACAAATACTAAAACAATTGAGCTACAGATTATACTTGTTAGTAATTGTACAGATAAATGCGCAAAAAGATCTAGATCAATCAATATGTACATATATATGCATATGAATATGGTACCATAGAATCATAGAATCATAGAATCATTAAGGTTGGAAAAGACCTCTAAGATCATCGAGTCCAACCGTCAAGCTACATGAGTTTAAAAAGGCCTAAAGCTAGCTAAATTCATAAAGCTATACCTGTTAAAAATTCCCCTCAAGTCTCGTGAAATACGTTAAATGCTTTGGCATTTCTCAACAGGCGAAGGGTTGAGCCCCGAGGAGTGTTCCAGCCTAAATCCTGGTGATCCTCCAAGTATCGCAAATTCAAGTTTGCGGACTCTGAGAGGCGTCCCACTCAGAGGGAGATTCTGGATGCAGCCCGCTGCGGTCCAGGAGAGCTCAAAGGGTCTCACTTGGGACCACTGTTTATAGGTTTGCAAGATGATTGGCTTTAGTCATCAGTAAATTTCCATTTTGGCTACTATCCGAGGTGGTCCAGGGTGGTAATTATGGTATTGTTCCACAGTAACAATGGTTTATTCCACTTGAGCTATGATCTAGGTAGGGAATGCTTCAGGGCTGTCAGAGATGACAAATTATCTCTTGCTCTTGTTCCCTACCTTGATCATGTAGCTGGTGTCCCTGGTACGATCAGTGTCGCTCCCCACCTTAGCCATGCAAGAGTGCCTGGTACGGTCAAGGGATGCTCAACCGCCCAACTCGTACACAACGGCTAAAGCTTAACAGAAGTTCCTGAGATTGTATCGTAGTCCAGAGGAAGGGGGGGAGATGCACCACTGCAGTGAGCAAATCAAATGGATAAGATATTATAGATACTGTATGTTTATGAAGTATGTATCTTTATTTCTTTATTCTGTTTGCAGCCTGTTCGTATCAGACACTTAACTTATTTAAAGCCAATTCCTGTATGTAGTCATAATAGCAACAGAGGATGGTAGGAAACTTATGCTATGGGATGCACACTTGATTTTCCATTGCTTTCCATCTAGGAAAAATGATGTAAAGCTTTCTATCTTGATTTATTTACACTCATTTTCTTCTGGTATAACTGAATAGGACCTAGTTTACCATTACACTATTCCAGTCTGATACTGTAAAAATTATATGCAAAATGAGTAGAGTTATACTAGTATATGCCTGGAACAACTCAGTAGCGAAATGGCCCTTAATCTGGAGATGATGTTCTTCTCCATGTTTTGTGACTATATCAGTTAATTTGTAAATTCAGTTAGTGTTCAGAAATGTTCAAACAGATTTACTTTTCAAATGCACTGAAATCCATAGGAGCACTGTATTTGCCTACGGTTTTGATAGACACCTGGCACTGATACCACACTTCTGAAGCTGCTTATTTTCATTTTTTCAAACAAACCAGTAGTTACTATGGCTGCATAAAGACCTTATTACTGCCTATTTTAAAGAATAAACAAAGTAAGAATATAGGCTTAACAAAACAGAGCATTTCTTGCATTGTAAATGTATATGCAAAAATTCAGCTGTTGACAAGTACTGATTATCCAACATGCTTATATTTCCCTTCAGCATTATTTCCAGGCTAAACTTACAAGCTTACATACTGTAAAGTCAGAGTGTTATGACTATTACTAGTCAATAATTTTAAAACTGTAATATCATTTTTATGTTTGTATGGTTTATATAATTTAAATACTTTATAAAGTGATTAAGTATAATATTACAATTAATTATAGTATACTAATAAGATTTATTTTATTGAAATTCTTAATCTGAAGAGAAGGGACCAAAAAGAAAGTATTTTGGATCCTTTAGTCCTGAAAGTAATTCTACTTTTACCCATTACCACTATATTACAGTAGAGTGTATTTTCTCAATATACTGCTGACACCACATGCCAAGTAGTATTTCCACCGTATTGCATAAAATACTTCTATACTACTATTGCATTATGAAGAAACTAAAATGAAATTATTACATCAGTGGGGAGAATCTGACCTGTGTCCTTTCTTACGCAAAAAAGTTGTGGTGCTTTCAGCCAAAACTAATAACTGCTAATAACATCATAGAAAAATGGAAAAGACTATGAAATTCATCAAGGAATGGCTGCACAAAAGTACCCGAAAGATGTTACAAATTGCAGTAAATTACCCATTACCATTACAAGAAAATAAATGCACTTGCCATAATATGAAAATGCAGCAAACATTCTGCATGTTAATTAATAATTCAAAACAAAGTATGTCTTAACTACATCAATCCAAATTCTGTCATTTTAAAATAAAGAATACATATTTTTAGAGCTATGACCACTGAGAAAGATGAAAAAGAAATCGTGCAAATGCTTCAAAGACGTATAAACCTGTTTTTGCTTCAGGGCACCAACACTGATTCACAAGCTGAAAACATTTTCCTTGAGTTGAGTTATTCCCAATTTTATTGTTTCAAGATATTCTGCACATTTCTTTGAAGCATGTGAAGCTGGAACCTGTCCGAAGAAGGACAGAGATCTATCCGGACCTTGGTTTTGCTCTTGAATGGATCATTTGAATTCTATGATGTCATAACAGTATGTTTTTATGTCCCTATCTAAATCCTGACTGTAGCATCTCCAGATCATGTGACAGGTGAAAAGGGACCGTTTGATTTGAAGGCTGAAGACAGAGGTTGAATGGGGTTTTTAAATTTTCTTGAAGCACAGGCTGTTGTCCTTCTTCTGAATTAAAGCAACCAGTCTGATAAGAAGCAAATCAGCTGGACAAACAGAGGATTTTTAACAGCTCAGGATGGGCAGTGGAGCCAGTTCTGGGAGCAAGGAGTCGGCCAGGAGATCCAGAGAACTGGAAAAGAAACTCCAGGCAGATGCAGAGAGGGAAGCCAGGACAGTCAAACTACTGCTGTTGGGTAAATAGAATAGAAATTGTTCATAATGCTTTTCCACTGATGGGTTATTTTGCTCTGGGATTACATTTCAGTACAGTGAATTTCCCACCTTTCACTATTTTATTTGAAGAAGACAATCCTGTAATACATGCAGAAAATGTTTTCTGGTTGTGAACACTCATGAAGCAACCAATTAAGTCACAAGGAACAGGCTGGAAATGGCCATGTCACTGCATGTATTCAATTTCATATATTATAAATCCTTGACTTTGAAAAGATTTGAGAAATGCTATGACGCTTACTTACACAGAATGTAGCACAGACTTATCTTTTTTTTTTTCATGGATCTATATGCATTCATTTGCAGGGTTAAGTAAGATAACTGGTTACATCATAGAAAATCCAAAGGTGTCACAAGGTATTGATATTGTTTCTTTTCCAAACTTTTGCACTTCATTTTTTACAGAAGCAGAAAGTGACTTAGAAAGGCTTTTTTCAATGTATAAAAATGATATTGTAGAGAGTGGAACAGAAGGTAATAAATTAGATTAATACAGATGAATAGTCTCACAGAGTACTACTTCTAATCCACAGTATGATCAATTCATTAACAGCCAGTGGGTGTAATGGCAAAAGAAAAATTATTTTTTTCTTGATACAGCTTTATTCTTCTCTCTTTTTTTCCATAGTATTGCGTAGAAATACAAGAAATATCCAAGAGCACAATAACGCTGCCACCATCTTAATATTTTTCTTTTAACAGTATGATGCCTGCTATGACAGTTCACATCGGTTACACCAAATGAATAGAAAAACAGCCTTTAATCATTGAAATGTTTCTATTTTTTCTCCATTGTAGCCACAATGCTTACAAATGCTTTTAAACTGACATTTATTCAGACTTAGCTAGATCCTTTCGATAAAGTAAATCGGCTTAACTCTGTTGTTTTTTATCTTATGCAAAAAGTCTATTTATACCTGCTGAGAATCTAACTATTATTATTAATAAAGAAATAAGAGAAAAACACAACCATGCAGGTTTCTCAGATAATAATAGGGAAGTAGCAGTTTGATACACTTTATGTACCACCAGTATTCAGATTGTGGTTTACAAAGCTTTTCAGTCCAGTGGAGAATATGAAGATTTTCTGTGCCGCATAAAAATACAAAATATTGCCCCTACTGAGACAAGCTTGAATTGGTCAAAAACCAGAATAATATTTTCATTTAAACTTCCATAAAGTTTCAATACTTTCTATATTCTCTTACAAAAAGGAGCCAGGGTCCATCTACTCCAGCATCCTGTCTCTGACCTTATCCAACACGGATACATGAGGAAGGTGTAAGAAATCCTTTACGAGCAATTTATAGGATAAAGAGGAATTTATAAGATAAAGAGGAATTTATAAGATAGGCAGTTTCATGATATATTTTGATCTTCAAGCCTTCATGTTTTGGCAGTAGTACTGGAGACTGTCTTACACTAGGACACAAACTAAATTACCCCTCTCAGAACACATGTATGTATTTAGTATTAAGAACTTCAGTTTTTAAGGTTTCCCAATGTATATAATCAGTCTTTTCCTGACACTATTAATATCTCAAGATAACTTTAGTAAAATACTTTGAGATTAATTGCAAGCTATGTGAAAAAGACTTCTAGTTCATTCATTTCAAATCTGAACATATTTCAGTTGCATCAACTATACAAGCACTCTTTTCATGACACAAGATGATCATCAGAATCTGAAATACTTTTACTAAAAGTCTTCTTTATAGTGTATATTTCTATAATATCTTCCCTTATTCATGTCACATATGATGAAGATTCAAATTTGTCAGTGGTTAATGTTTTGGAAGATTTTTTCTCCTGGGAACAGTTATGACAAATCACAAGGAACCAAGAACCTGGTAAAAAAACATGTTGGGGAAAAAAAAAGAAAAGATTATAGACTTAATAGCTTGAATTTTCTTGTTCTTAAAAAAGCAAGAAGTGAATAAAACCTGAGTCTGTTTTGAGCCTATTGCACAGCTAGAGTGAAAGTGTCTCTTGAACACTTGGAATCACAGCTGCTGAAGCAGCGTGTATAAAGGGCACCATATAGCCCCTTCCATAGTCAACCAGTGACATGGCCAGATAAGAGAGGATTAAATCTGCTATGTTCAGATCGGGGCCTGCTACCTTTCCATACCTCTGAGGTGATCTCAGAAATGATTCAAATTTTACACTTCATAAATCAAGGGCAGCTCCGTTCAAGCCAACCAGCCTAGTCCTACCCTAGTCCTAGGTTTCTGTTCATTCAGACCATATGTTGCCTCTGTATTACAGACCAGATGTCACCATTGTTTCTTTTGTAGTTGGCAGATGGGTAGAAAATACTCAGAAAGAAAAAGGATATGTATATCATAAGTTTTTCAGTGCGATCACTATGCTTTTACCCTTAAAATGTAAAAAAAAAATGTATTTTGACCATTTCCTGAGAGGATTATTTAATATCTAATCTGATCTCTTTGCGTCCTCCAATAGGACCCTATAAAAAAATGAAATTATATCCAGAAACCAAAGACACCACATTTGTTTATGTTCCATGATCTGGGCAAACACATCTGTGTTGAGGTGATAATTTACAGTTTATATGACACGCACACAAAAACTGCACATATAGATGGGGGGAGGTGGAAAATTATGCCACTTTCTGCCATTCTTCAGAAGCTGTCCAGGAGCCAGGAGGGTTAAGTCCTCCGTGCTATGTTGTCAAGGCCATCCCACCCCCCCCAACTTAGCTTCTACGTATTTATACGTCAAAAAAATCAGATTGTTTTATGAGTCTGGAACAAACTCCAAGGTGAAAGTTTTATTTCCTTTGCATCAGGGCCATATCTTGCCTACCACATCACATGCAGTTTATATACTCTGTAGGAGGCCAGCCTGCAATTTATTTGTGTGCAAACTACAGTGCACATTTGAAATGTGGCTAAAGCAGCTGAGGTTTCACAGAAATAAGAACTTAGCTTCAGTTTAAATAATCATTAGACTTTGAACTTATTTCTTTTCAAAGTATTACTCCATGGCCTCATTGTCTACAGTTTTCAGTGGCAGGACAAAACTCACCCTCATTTGAGCTGGTCATCTCAGCTCACTTTACTGAGAAATGCTCACTTTTAGGGCACGACTCACCCAATTTAATTTAAACATCTGCTCCAGGGTGACAAAAATTGAAGCTGTTTGTTTGTTTGTTTTAGTTTTAGCAGCAAATATTTTTCTCTACTGACTAGAAGAGGTCTCTGATAAGTAGTCTGAACATAGAGGTTTATAGTACAGACATTTAAAACCCATTAAATGAATCAGTTACTGTAGTACTGAAGTCAGGTTTAAGTTAACACCTGCACTGGAAGGAAAGACTTGGAGCACAAAGATGGCCCAATAATCCTATTGACTGGAATACACCGATTCTTTTTTTGGGGGTGGGACAGCATTTAAGGACCTTATTCCCTCAAGAGGGTTAGATCTTGGATCTTTTCTCTAGTTTCTTTCTCCCATGGAGAAAGTTTGTTCAGTTTGGTAAAAGGACCAGAAAGAGATAATTTCCACTCTAGTTCACAGTTTCCAGAGCTCTGAGTGGCACAGACAAGGCTCAGGCAGAGGTGTGAAACCTTTTCCGATTTTAATTTGAAGATTTCCTTTTCCTGCCTTTTGCTGTTTTATGTCATTGTCAGTGGCTTTTGTGACAGGTTTCAAACAAAATATTCAGGCAGTAGATTTTTAAATTTTCTTACCTTTACTTCTGAAAACTTTCCTAAACCAAACATTTACTTCCAGATAAATAATAGCTGTAAAGAGATAATAGCTCTTGCTTTGAGACACAAAAGCAGCTTAATATACAAAAAGAACCTTCTTCAACAACTCAGCAGATGCTAACCTTGAACGAGGCTTGTACTCTCCCCAGTTTCCACAACCATTCAAACAAATTCTGCTTAGAAAACCAGTAATGTCAAGTTACAGCTGAGGTCCTGGGCTCTGTTCCCCTTTGAATTTGAGAGATTCCCACCGGCTTTCAAGCCGCCTCCAGTTTTTTCTCTATTTCTGCTCTGTCTATATGCCTTGGTGGCCTGCAGGGAAGAGGTCAGGCAGTCCCAGAGCCGCGGGGCAGCTCACGTCAGGCTGCGGGGGGATGGCTCCTTCGCAACTCGGCACTTCTTCTTGAGTCTCCTCTGCAGCCCCAGCGTGCCCAGACACATAAGGGGCTTGGGACGTGGGGGGTGCAGTTTGGAATATCCGAAACAAGAAGAGAGGCAGGTTCCAGCCTGCCAGACCGCTGTGTGCACAGCACCACGCCGGAGGTGGATGCAGGATGCCCCAGGGCATGGGAAGAAGTATGGGAGCAAACTTCCATCGGCCTTACTGGCAGGGAGGACATCTTTCAGCTCCCAGGAGCGGGGCCAGAGTCTCAAGCACTGACTGAGACTTCTGTGCCTTTGTTTTCTGTGCCTTTATCCATCTCAAGAAAACTAGGCATCCAAATAGAGGTAGAGAAATCAGAGGCAAATTTGAGAAAGCGAGATCTTAAAGATGTGAAATGCAAAATACAGGCTATGGCACATTATCCCTGATCCCTATCAGGCTGAGCTATAAATCTTCACAACGGCAGCGAGTTTCTCAAAAGCCAATTAAACTTTCCAAGTTTCAGGACAGGACTAAGTTTGGCCTAAGTTCTCATCTTCTATTCAGAAAATCTGGGCTCAATTATAATTGACCTTTTCACTGCCTCCTAAAGGGAAGCTGCCTCCAGATCCCCGCGCAGTCACGCAGGGGCTGTCAGGGTGCTCTCTTCCTGCTGCTTCTGGGGGTGGGAGGCTACTGCGGTGGGTGGAAAGGCAGCCCTGCCCCTGCCCGCCCGTCCCGGGGCCCTGCCCGGAGGAGCAGGCTGCACAGGAGGAAGAAGGAAGAAAGGAAGCAGGTGCAAAGTAAATTGTTTCTGACCCATTTGCTGGGGTGCAAACGCTGCTGTGAGTGACACAGTACTCCAGAGTGAAGCCAAAGTCTGAGAGACATCTGTTGTTTAGATA